ACCTAATAGCTGAAGACAATTTCTTGACGACGTTTGAGAACTTAATTGAATTCTTGCAATATGATTTTCAAGTGTGTGAACTTGTCCACAAGTAGGTAAACTCTGGCTATTGCACCATTTGGAAAAGTTCCTATAAAATCTATCCACTGAACTGGGGTCAAAACAGACTTTTCGAGATTGTGTTGAAGGCCTAAACTGTGGAACAGAGACCTTGTCATTGGTTAAGATTGACCTCTGAGAAGCCAATCATTGAGATGAAGGAAAGCAACTATACCTAGTCAACGTAGGTGGGCAACTAGAGCTGCCATTATCTTTGAGAATACTCTTGGGCAGAGAAGAGTCCGAAGGGGAGCACATGGTATCGGAAGTGATTGTGGTTGACTGTAAAATGAAGAAACTTCTTGTGAGAAGGGTGAATTGTGACATGAAAATATAAATCCTGAAGGTTGAAAGTCACAAACAAATCCCCAGAATCTAAGGAGCAAATTACAGCTGCAAGGGTCACCATCCTGAATTTCTGCTATTTCACATAATTGTTTGGAATCTGACATATAATATAAGCCTCCATCCTCCATTCTTTTTAGGGAACAAAAAATACTTGGAATAGAACCCCTTTCCCTTGTACTGGACTAGAATTGGTTCTATAGCTCCTAAGCATAGAAGGGAAGTGACTTCCTGTCTCACCTACTGATTGTGAGATGGGTCGCTGAAAAGGGATGGGGAAGGGGGCTGGGATGGAGGGATGGAAATGAAATAGTTTGAATAATTGATATTACGACCTCCAAAAACTCATTTGTCGGATGTTATTCTCTCCAATGCAGGTTGAAAGGGGGAGAGGTGTTATCCAAAGGTGGGGAGGAGGATAGGATAGCACAGCTGTAGAATCTTGTGGAATGGATGATCTGAACTCAAAACTGGCACTTGGACAAAACAGAGGGCTGGGATGAGGTAGCTGCTGCAGTTTGTAGCTTCTTTTTAGAGAACCTAGGACTCTTGGCAGGTGGTTCAGAAGGTCTATGGAAACTAGAGAAAGAAACTGGGCAAAATCTTTGAGTTGTCTGAGACCTGCTGAATTTTCTTTTATTTGCAGGTATATAAATCCCAAGGGATCTATGTGTGGCCCTCAAATCTTTTAAAGCATGAAGAATGTCATTGGTAGACTCAGCAAACAATTTGAGACCATCAAAAAGCAAGTCCTCAACAGTACTTTGCACCTCTTATGGAAGCTGCACAACTGAAGCTATGAAGCTTGTTGCATCACAATCACAGTGGAAATGGACTGACTGTGCTGCAGTATCAGCTGAATCTAAGGAGGCCGAGAATGATGTTTCCACTAAGAGTTGCCCTTCATTTATGATGGCTTTAAATTGCTTGTGGTGCTCCTCTGGCAACTGCTCAATAAAGGTGTTAAACTTATTATAATTCAGAAAGTCATGCTTTCACATGAATGCTTGTTGGTTAGCTATTCTGAATTGCAATGTTGCAGAGGAGTAACTCTTATGACCGAAGACGTCGAGTCACTTCTGGTCTTTGTTGTAAGGGGTAGACTTAGCACTGTGTTGTCTACTGCACTCATTAACTGTCCACAACCAGGGAATTTGGTGTTGCGTGTTAAAATAAAAACTCTGAGTCCTTGGCTGGAACAGAATCATTTTTTGTCAGCATATTTACAGATGATCTTAGCAGGCTCTAGCAAAAAACCGGGAGGGCAACACGAACGGAAATGTCCAGGAGTTTATGATAGGAATCCTGGACTCTTATACAGGCATATGAAGCATAAGCAATGAGTTTCTTCAGCTCCTGGAACTGTCTAAGGTCATCTGCCATGGAAGGTGGTGGAGGCATTACAGCCTCATCTGGCTATGATGATGAAATATTTGTGTGAGGTGTTGCCTACTTGTCAGCCCTTACCTCCTGCTCCTCAAAGATCTCCTCAACTGGTCGGAGTGAAGACAGTGGAAAATGGTTCTGCCTATATTCCTTGAGTGTGTTTCGGGGCTCTTATGAACATTGTGGGGCCCATAGGGCACGGGAGGAAGCATCTTCCGTTGATCATACCAGCTAGACAAGGGTCAAAGTCATCTGTCCGCTCAGAATGGACAGGAGAACGTTGTCTCACAGAATAAGCAAGAGAATCCTGTACCAAAATCTCTCAGAAGAGTCATTGTCAACATACTCAAGGGGAGGTGATACTTGTTCACTCTGGATGGTCAAAGTCGGTATAGAAGGAGGTCCCAGTGAAAAATATGGAGTTGATAACCTGGAGGATCTCGGTGCAAACAGATGTCCGGTGCCAGTAATAGGTACTCTGGCTCATTCAAGACAAGAAGGACCTTTGAATACTAAACTCTACAGCACCAATGGTACGTAGGCAGGAGTTAGATGGCCTCCACAGGATTCCGTTTTCGGTACCATGTTTTATATCTGTCTTGAGTTTGTGTGTGCTACGGACCCTGAGTGTTTGGTATCAGAATGTCCGGGGTCAGACTCCAGCACTACCAATGCAGAGCTATAGAATAATGGCATAGCTACTGGGGATACAAAAGTGTTTGATGTGATACAGCTCTGCACAGAACTTCTACTGGTATGGATAGGACTACCCAAAGACGAAGTCATCTTCAGTACCATATCCTCTTTGGTAGTAGTATGACTCTTAGAGGACACTTCAGATATCCTCAGAGTACCGGAGACACAGGAAGCCTCAACAAAACTCCCTTTGGGAACTGAGGTCTCCAGAACATTTTTCTCAGACAGCGACTGAGACATCTTAGAAGGAGATCTAGGACTCCTACTTTTCTTATCAGTACCCAGAGACTTAGAATATGAAGCTCCCTGTACTGTTGATATTGAGGCAGATGCTGGCTTCCCTGAGAATTTCAATGACCAAAACCCAGAGGTGGGTGAGGTAGCAGCAATAGAATCCCTTGAGGCTCTAAGTGACAAGGATCCTGAAGTTGATGGGGTACTAAGTGTGCTTAGAGGCCAGGGTGCAAGGCGGTTCTCAGAGCTCAGGTCAGAGACCAGTCTTAGGGCTTGCTCAATCACCAATAATTTGAATTTAATCTCTCTGATTTTTTTTTTTTGAGATCTGCTTTTGAAGAAGGAGCAAGTCTTACACTTACTCGGGATATGGGTGTCCCCCAAACTGCAGAGGCACCAAGAAACTTTGTCATTGACCAGGATAGCTGCCTGGCAGTAAAGACACTGCTTAGAGTCTGGGGATCCTCCCATACCACAGAAAACAAGTCTAAAACCACCCCTCAATCAGGAAAAAGGCTAATAAAAGGGGAACAACAATCCCAACAAACTAACTAACTAACTAAACTATACCAGGAACAGCCTGAGTAAAGAGGGCATTCTGGATACTCCATCTCAGGCCAAGGGTTGTTCAGAAGGGACTGAGGGTGGTTGGCTCACACAGTCCCATATATTCTTGGCATGAGGATGTACAGGGCACATGCGAAGGACGAACAGACACTGCTACTGAAAATCTCTGATCAAAGGTGCATGGAGGCACATGCGCACCTGAAGTGGAGCATCCATAGGGACACTATTCAAAGAAGAATCCCCTTTACAGCAGTCTAAAACTCCTCTTGCTAGCCCTCCAGAGCTATAAGATACCATATCAGACTAAGTTTGTAATATTTTTACATATAGAATTGCTGTTACTGACTCAAATCTCTGGAGATGTCCTCACAGAACATAATGTGCTGCCCCATTCCACATTACATTCTGTGGCATACCCCTCCAACTGAAACATCACCTGAGTGGTGGGTTAGGGGACAGCAGATAGTTGGACACATCTGCAAAGGAAGTGTTAGCATAAGAAGGGAGTGCCCTGAAGAACAGTGCAGTCACTTGACCTCTGTATCAGTGTCTTTGATGCTTTGGTAGATCTCAACCTCTGCACATTTGTTAAGAGGATGGAGACAAAAAACTTAGGGCAGGTGTACACTACAGCCGGGATCGACACTCTGAGATCGATCCACTGGCGGTCGAATTAGCGGGTCTAGTAAAGGCCCGCCAAATCGACTGCAGATCGCGTTCCAGTTGACCCCTGTACTCTACCCCCGACAAGAAGAGTAAGGTAAGTCAATGAGAGATTTTCTCCCATCGACCCCCCGCGGTGTAGACCCTGCGGTAACTCAGCATAAGGTATGTGAATAACATAGCTGGAGTTGTGTAGTGTAGGTCGGCTTACCGTGGTAGTGTAGATATAGACTCTGTCTTCCCACCCCAAAGGGAGCAATCTGAAAGAATCAGCATTGAGTTTCCTGGTCCCTAACGTAATTTTTTCCTGTTCAGGGGATGAATTTTTCCCTACCAAAACTACAATATATACGAAATAAAAAGGCTACTATGGTTAAACCAAAAGCTTTTTCTCTTTGTTTACCTATAAACTATATGACTCGTCCTTGATAGTATGATATCTTACTTAGTTTTATATGCTACACAAATGAAAGGATAACAATAATAAAAAGAATCCTGAAAAGAAAATCCTTATTTCTTATACCTGCTTATAATCATATTTATATGAAATGTGGTGTTCAGTAATAAAATGCTAAATAATTCTCTTTGTGGATTATACAGTTTAGTAACTAATATAGAAGATATAAGCCATCATTTACAAGAAGATGCCATCTACTGAGCAAAAGTGTAATCAGCAGGCAATTTCTATTACAGCCAAAATCTTTTTCTTCCTTTATTGATTTTCTCCATTGCTTTTCTAAAGCCCCCCAAGCTATCTGAGCCAGTGTAGCAAATGAAGAAAACATAGGACTTCTCAATGACCCCAATATCAATTCTGCTTTGTACTTTACCCTGTCTCAAGGCTATGGATCTGATAGGTTAGTTCAAGCAAGAGACAGAAAATAGTATATATAGTATGTACACACAGACACAAATTCAGAGCAACTGAGTAGAAATTACAGGTTAACCTTTGGAATTAAGCCTAATAAATTTGCAGTTTTAAAACAACTTGCAGATATTACACTATTCACCTGTATATCAGCTAATTGATTCATCATGTAACTCTTTTTGTGCTCCAGTTGTTGTTCTGCTTGTTTCTTCTGTTCATCTAGTTTTTGCATCTTCTGATTCAGATTATAAAGTTTCTGGAAAATATATGCATAGACAGATGTGTTAGTATTCAAAAGTAATTGTCCTTTTCTTCTTTGGGAAATTATAAAACACATTAGCCATTAAATACTCTTTTTAAAAGTTTCAATTTATAAGTTCATCTTTAGTTTCACTTAAACATTTTTTATCTAGTTCACTTAGTAGCTACATTATATATTTGTGTGTATACATTCAGAACCACTTCAAACTATATAAATAGCATTTTAAACACACACACACACACACAGCTATGTTGATTCATATATTGTATTCTGTCATATAGAAAAATATCACTGTTTCACCACTGATTATAAGCAAACCCCTTTCCTCCCAATGGTTCTATGAGTTTATTTTGCCAGCTAACACATAGACTTTCTATGTTCAAAAATAGAGAAACGAGGTGGGTGAGGTAAACATCTTTTATTGGACCAACATCTGTTGGTGAGAGACAAGCTTTTGAGCTTACCCAGAGCTGAAGAAGAGCTCTGGATAAGCTGAAAAACTCTCTCTGACCAACAGAAGTTAGTCCAATAAAAGGTAGTACCTCACTCACATTGTCTCTCAGTGTAGTGGGGCGGTCACCCCGCTCCAACCCTGAAGGGGTTAAAACAGCCCTGGGAAAGGGCTGCTCCGGGGAACCAATAGGGTAGGCTGATTGGGGAAGCAGCCACAGCTGGGGCCATGCCCCACTCAGGCCACAGCTGGCCCTATATAAGGGCTCAGGGAGGAGCTGGGTCACAGTCTCTCTCTAGTGGTGGAGAGGGAAGGACCTAGCTGCCTGGGAGCTCAGGGTACAGGGAACAGAGCAGGGCTGGGAAAAGGCAAGAGGAACTCGGGAGCTCCATCACGGAAAACCCCCAGGCTGCAGGCCTTGAGAAAGGCCAAAGCAGGTATTGGGGCTGCAAAGGTGCAGCCTGGGGTTAGGCAGAGGCAGCAGGTCCTAACCCCTTGCCAATGATGAGTGGCTATTACACTGCAATCTGCCCCAGTGAGCAGGGGCTAGATGATGACTGGCAGTAGCCACTGAGGCAAGGTGGGTTTAGAGGGTTGGGGGTTCCCCTGGAAGGGGAGACCCAGAATAAGGGGGTACTGCTGGGGCAGAACTCCAAGGTGAAGGCACCGGGGTCCAGGAGGGACACAGGACCAGCAGCTGGCAAGACACTGTCCTGCAGAGGGCGCTCCGGGCTGGACAAGAGCTAATTCCCAGGATGACCAGCAGGAGGCGCCGCACCGGTGAATCTTTCTTCGCTACATTCTAATATCCTGGGCCCAACACAGCTACAACACTATTTTCAAAATGTGTGTTCTGAACGGCCTACATGAAAATAGCGTAAGGGAGACAAGAAATACTTATGGTTTAGTGACTGTGAACTAACAAGGGAAATAGTACTTAGGAGAGCTACTAAGAAACTGTAAGAAGAGAAAGAATAGCATATTGGGATTTCTCATTTTTACATCATTCACTAATCCAGTGTATTATTAATTAACATATCCAGAAAATTAGTTTTTTTTTTCATATCTGCTGTACTAAACATATTTACATCATCGGTATAAGTGCAAACTATTAAATGATAGAAGTAGTTATTAACATATATAATGACTAGTAAAATTTGTAAATTACTCTGTACGTGTACAAAAAATATACAATGATAAAGTTATTCAAAGTGTTTTCTTTGATAAATTATGAAATTATGTATCATATGTAACAGCATTAAATATAGCATTCACATTCTGATTCACTTGCAATACTTTCAATTTTTAATCAAAGAGTTTAAGTTCTTCCATGAAATTACCAACATTTTTTTAATATTATTCAGATACAAACCTGCTTGTGCAAACATAGTTTCCAAGCTTTTAAGACTGAAACAAATATACAGCTAAAGACAAGGATATATAACTCATACCACACCCCTTGAGGCCTCCAGAAGACTAATGATGTGATCTTTGTCACATTGTTTCTACTAAATTTTACTTAGGGAGGGGCTAACAACATTAGTCACTGCCATTAACATGTTGTTTTGAAAATACTATTAGCTATTAGAAATATCTTTTTGTAGTTTTATGAGCAGTTGTGACTTATTATACCTGCATCACAAATAAACTATCTCAATTATTTTAACATACTTTCAAAAAAAATTATTCTACATCTGAGAGATTGGGTAGTTTAAATATTGTAAGTAGTATTTCACAGGAGCTATACAGAGAAGAGAAAGAAAGGAAAAATTGAGTCCCTGTAGGAAGTGAAGGCAGAGAAAGAGGAGGGTCTAGACTGACAAGTCTGACTCAATAGTAAGAAAACTGAACTCAGAGTAAACTGTAGATGAGATTGCTTGGGAAAATTCTTCCAACAGAGATGGAAGTCTTCACTAGCTTAACTGTGATTCTGCAAAAGAAGATTCATGTGAGCTGGAAGAAGTCATGGAAGTTTTCATACCTAGCTACCACCTCTCAGGGAGGTAGATTAACCACAGTGATGGGAAAACCCCTCCTGTCAACACAGATAACGTCTACACTAAAGCACCGCTGTAGCATTTCAAATGTAGACAAGCCCTAAATTATTCTGCTGAGGATAATACATAGGCTATCAACAAACCCTGCAGAAACCTCTTCCTGAGTCTTAAAAAGAAAAGGAGTATTTGTGGCACCTTAGAGACTAACCAATTTATTTGAGCATAAGCTTTCATGAGCTACAGCTCACTTCATCGGATGCATCCGATGAAGTGAGCTGTAGCTCACGAAAGCTTATGCTCAAATAAATTGGTTAGTCTCTCATCGGATGCATCCGATGAAGTGAGCTGTAGCTCACGAAAGCTTATACTCAAATAAATTGGTTCGTCTCTAAGGTGCCACAAGTACTCCTTTTCTTTTTGCGAATACAGACTAACACGGCTGCTACTCTGATTCCTGAGTCTTGCAATCTTTAGCTTCTTCTCAAGAAAGTGATACACAAAAAAGGGGACTGGGAATGGGCACGAACTGGAATCTCTTTTTTTAAACTATATTTAACACTGATTTTTCTGAAAAAATCCTGTTTTATGTTTCCTGGGGCAGGGGGGAGGGGGAGGAGGAGAGAATCAGTCTGAAAAAAACCAGGAAAAGAGAGACTTTGAGGCATGACTCATTGGGGGTTCTTGACCATCTTATCAAATTTGTTTCTTAAAAGATTTAGAACTAGAGAGAATGGAATTGCAGGTGGAAGATGTTCACTGTATCCTCTGTTTACCCCTGTGGCAAGAAAAATAAGGTTGCAGCTGAGTATACTAATGATTAAGGTGTCAGGTGAATGTAAAGATGCTCAAAGGCTTGCTGATGAACTTGGTATAGCTTACCTTGGCTAATCTATGGGCCGTTAGACAAAGTGTCTCACATTACATGAACCATTTTCTTATTGTCTTCATAAATGAATCTTATTTTGGGATAAACAAAGGTGAATAGCTCTTCTCATTTTTGATGGCCAGACGGAATCATCAGTTATTAATGATTCAAGACATACCTGTCACATATATCCCTTATACCCTGTATCAGTCCCCCTCCATTTTCAGTGCATACAGGTATAAAGGATAGAGTAAGAAATGGTTGCACAAAAATAAAAGCGAAAAACACTTTCAAGAGGTTAAGCTTAACAAGACAAACTATAGCCTTTGTTCAAGGTAGTTTCCTTACCCATCTATCTTTCAGCAAAATGACTGATCACCCTGGTCATCCTCCCACAAAGTCCAAAGTGCTTGGTTCTTAGGTGAAAGATAACTCAGGGTTCTTTGCACCTCCCTTCTATAGCCCGTGCAACTTGAAATGGATTCTTCTGAAGATTACCCCTCAAAGTAAAGTACCTTCAAGCTGTGAGGAAAGTGACATGGAGTCTAGTGGTGAAAAAAGTTTCTTCCCCCACTGGTGTTTACTAAAATGCAAATTGATCTGTTTCCTGGAATCTCTTCACTCTGCTGAGAGAATATCTCCTCCCCCTGTTTACCTTCTATGTACATTGCATTCCCATTGTCTCATTGTACATTGCAAATACCTTCAAGGTGGCAGAACCACATTCCTTTGTCTGGGGTGGAGTAACTTTAGACTTTCCTGGCAGACACACCTTGATAACATAATTTCCAATATGTTTGTAATTTTGCATTTGTCTTCAGTCCATACATCACAAATAATATTAATGATTGGTATGTTATTAGCTTTCTATTAGTATCTTACATGATACCTTCAAGGTTATGACATTAGTGAGTTGGGATACACTGAACTGGTCACTTAACTTACTACCAGATATCAATAAACCCCTTGCCTTCTTGCACTGGGATGCTGTTAGTGTCACAGAAAGAAAAGGACAAAGGGAGAACCAGTGCCATATGACATGTCAATAACATCATTATTCACACTTAGGGACAATAAATTGGAATATTGATGGGTCCTGAACATAGAGAGTGATGTACTAGGTTCAAAGAAAATAAGGTGTTTCTTTTACTGCATTATGACAAGCTTATCAGCCACTAAATGGGGATGCTTGGAATTATGTGTTTCTATCTCAGTTCAGAACAATGCTATGGACCAAGTTTTCAGTTGGTTTGGCGTTGGCTGCTTGAATCTGAAATACTACGTCTTCCTGATTTTCAAATGACACTCACAATGTTGTATGCCACCAGTTTCCTTGTGCTTACTGATGTTTGTGTGTGCTTGTGCCTTCCCTGCCTGGTTGACCTGTATTGCTACTGCAGTCATGACCTTTCTCCCAAGGAGATACAACATCTTTGAGCCCTTGTCAGTCAGGGTGGTCTTCTAATGTTGTGACCTAGCCCTCTCCATAGCTGCCTGTACCAACAGAGAGTTGGGGACGGGATGGGAGAAAAGAAATTCAGCTCCCTTGGGGGGACAAAATAGCGCCTCTCGTAGACTCATAGACTTTAAGGCCAGACGGACCTTCATGATCATCTAGTCTGACTTCCTGCACATTCAGGCCACAGAACCTCACCCACCCACTCCTGTAATAGACCTACTG